TTCTCTCAAAAGTCCCCCCCTCCTTCTCCTTCTCTTGTCATTCCAAAGGAATTTGAGCAATTTACTGATGTGTTTTCTCCACAGATGAATTGTACGCTCCCTCCCCATAGAACAATGGATATTTCTATTAATCTTAAGGATGGAGCAGTTCCCCCCTTTGGGGGTTTGTACAATTTGTCCCGTGATGAACAGCAGCAATTGAAAGATTATATTGATGAGAATTTGAAAAAAGGTTTCATTCGCCTGTCTTCTTCTAGTGCGGCAGCTCCCATCTTCTTTGTGAGAATACCCGGTAAGAAACCTCGCCCCTGTGTGGATTATCGCGGACTTAATTCAATGACAGTTCGTGATAGCTATCCTATCCCAATTGTGGGGCAATTGTTGAACCAATTGCAGGGGTGTAAATTTTTCTCTAAAATTGATCTGAAATCGGCGTTTAATCTTTTGAGAGTGGCAGAAGGGCATGAGTGGAAGACGGCCTTTCGGACACCATGGGGGCTTTATGAGTATCTTGTCATGCCTTTTGGTTTGATGAATGCACCGTCTTGTTTCCAGCGCTTCATCCAATTTGTGTTGAGGGAATATTTGAATATCACTTGTTTTGTATACATTGATGACATTCTGATTTTTTCAAAGACACGTGCAGATCACCAGGCCCACGTCACACAGGTTCTTCAGAAACTTCAAGAAAATTACTTGTTTGCCTCGCCTGAGAAGTGTTCTTTTTACGCCAAACAAGTTTCATTTTTAGGTTTTATCATATCAACAGAAGGAATAAAAATGGAAGAAGACAAGCTGAGCACAGTTCTTGACTGGCCTTATCCAAAGAACTTAAAAGAGCTGAATAGATTTCTAGGGTTTTTGAATTTTTATAGGAAATTTATAGATGGGTTTTCTGATGTCGCGGCAACACTTACTAACTTGACAAAGGATAATGTGGATGTCGTTGCGGGATTGGATACAGCTGAGTCTAGAATTTCTTTTGAGAATTTAAAGAACCGTTTCAGAACAGCTCCATTGCTAGGACACTTTGATTTTGATAAGCCTCGGATTCTGCACGTAGATAGCTCAAAGTACGCTCTTTCAGCAGTCCTTTCACAAAGGGATGTGCAGGGGCAACTTCGACCAGTTTCGTTCTTATCAAAGAAGTGGAGCGATAAGGAGTCGGCGTGGCAAGTACATGACCAGGAGTTAGGAGCTATTGTGCAGGCCTTTGTCGAGTGGCGAGCATGGCTGATTGATACTCAGGATCCGGTGGAGGTGATGTCCGATCATTCTAATCTGAAGTATTTTATGAAAAATAAAAATTTGTCAGATAGACAGACACGCTGGGCATCATACCTCACATCTTTTAGTTTTGTCATTAAGCATATTCCAGGAAAACTCAACCCAGCCGATCCAGCAACTCAACGACCGGATTTCATCCCAGAAGGCGGGGTGTTGGGAGCGGAACGGAAGCTGTTGATAGCCACGGCCAGGGGATTGTGCCTGCGAGAATTGTCCTTGGATGAAGAAGACCTGGGAGTGGATGTTTGGGACGTAACTACTCAACCGGAGAATCAATTGAACAATAAGGAGGACATTGATTATTTTTTCTGCCCGCCAACAGAAGAATTTCGAAAACTTCTTCTTGAAGCATATGTGGCCGAACCACCCGACCCAGATCCTGATGACGACTGGGAACAGCGCGACGGGCTATGGTGGATCCGTGGACGTATCTTTGTCCCAACCAAGTTACGACCGCGGGTATTACAAGAATACCATGATAATATCCTGTCGGGGCATCCAGGTTCTTTGAAGACATTGGAAAGTATTGAAAGGACAATGACTTGGCCCGGTATACGGAAGGAAGTCCTTTCATATACTAAATCCTGTTTCTCTTGTCAAAAGGCTAAACATTCTAACCAACGAGCTCCAGGACTGATGCATTCATTGCAAGTTCCCAACAGGCCTTGGAGCTGTATTGGGATTGATTTCGTGGTAAAACTTCCTCTCTCAGATGGATGGGACTCAATACTTGTTATTGTTGACCATTTTTCAAAAGGCATTCATTTAATTGCCGCAAAGGAGACCTGGACAGCGGAGGAATTTGCGTACAGTTTCTTTGATCGATTCATCCGTTACCATGGTTTACCAGACAAGATTGTATCTGACCGGGGCGCCCTGTTTGTTTCTAAGTTTTGGAAGGAGGTCCAAAGATTACTTCGGATAAAGCCAGCACCATCGACAGCTTGGCATCCCAGAACAGACGGACAAACAGAACGCGCAAATCAGACATTTGAGACATTCCTCAGGCATTTTGTTTCTGACAGACAAGACGATTGGGCGCAATTACTCCCTATAGCTGAGCTTGTATTTAATTCTTCAGTCTCAGCTTCATCAGGCTCTTCACCTTTCTTTTCGCAGTTTGCTTTTCACCCCAGAACAAATATGTTCAACAAGGGATCTGCGGTGCCAGCAGCGGAAGCATGGTTAAGGAAATTGATTTCAGTGCAAGAAACCCTTCTGGACAATATCAAATCGGCAAAGAAGTTCCAGAAAGAATATTTCGATCGGAGGGTTAGGGAAGGGGAAGAATATCAAGAAGGGGAATGGGTTTGGCTTCTTCGCCGGAATATAGCGTCCACTCGTCCTTCAAGCAAGCTTGACTTCAAAAGACTAGGGCCATTTCGTGTGGATCTCTCAATGGGCAAGGATGTTTACAGATTAATACTACCCAAAGATATGTCAAGGATACATCCAGTCTTTCATTCGTCACTTTTACTTCCTTATGTAGACCCACGAAGCTTCCCCGGAAGAATAGGTTCGCAAGCTCCGAAGGGCCCAACGTCACTTGAACCGCGATTTTGGGATGAAAATGACATCGAGGCTATCATAGGGTACCGATCCCCATCTAAAGCAGTCCATGAATACCTGGTTAAATGGCGCGGAGGCTCGACGGCAGATAACTCGTGGGAACGGGGCGGAATGTTCTCCGAAAACTTGCATCCTTATCTAGAAAAATTTCATGAAGAATTCGGTACTAAGAAAATTGTGCTACCTTCCAATAAGGCGGTCAGGATTCTGTGTTGAACAAAGTTTGGTAGATGGCGGGTCATTTTGTCAACTTCAGCCCAAGGATCCGGCAAAAAAAAAAAAAAGAAATCCGAATCCGAATCCAAAATTTCTGTTTTAGATTTTCTGATTTTATTTTATGTATATAACTTTCATTTCAGTTCAAATAGCTATCACATAAAATCTTTATACATAGTCTACATTTGACGCGTCGCGTTTCAAAATTATTACACGCGATTTGTTCTATATATTCAGTCTCCCTTGGTACTCGCTTTGTCCTCTCACGGGATTTATTTTGTAAACTCTTTCTTTTGAATAAAACTCATTTCTGTTTCAACAAATCTGCGCTCAGTGCCGGTTTATTCATTACACTGGGGGGCTACAAAACGTAGCCCTCGGGGAGACCAAGTGAGAACTACATAGCGCTACACAGACTAACCCGGTCTGGGTCAGTCTGAGCTATTCTCGTGTCAGAAGTTAAGGAAGCAAGGAGCGAACGTCTCCGCGTCGGCCACCTTGCGCCGGAAGGTTCCGTGCTGCCGAGCGGCAATTAGGTGCGCTGCCAGCCTGCCTTGTCTCCCCCTCCGGGCGGAAGAGGGAATGGAAGAAGCCTCTCGAGTGGTGTGATCTGGGGTTGAGAATAACGCCACAGTCGCAAACGCCATTCGAGGCTGAATAGTTTTCGCGATAGGACCGAATCCGATTACACCCAATCTCACACAATTTTTGAATGGATGTATATCAATATGTTGTATGTATGTATGGACATGGCCACATTTTGCAATGGATTGGGCCACCTGGCTATTATAACTTGGTCAGGAGGCTTTGCACGGCCATTGCCCGACTCAAGTCGTCCGACACACGCGCTATCCTCGACCGCACATCATGAAAGCTCTTATAAGACTAGCGATCACTCTCCTAGCTACGGTCTCACTCAGTCTCGCTAAATATAAGAGAACCAAATACGACGATTGGTGTGCTAAGCATTTTGGGTACGTGCACCGTCCCTACGCACTTTGTGGGCGAAACCCACTCCTAGACTATTGGATGAGTAAGCGTTTTTTTCTCTGCGCCTTTTTTTTTCTTCGTCTTGTTTACAAAACCTCTGCTTTAACCTCACCCTACATGACTTGGTGTTCTTATTCTGGTGGTTTGAAGTGATTCCTCAAGATCAGTGCCCCCCCGCATCTGAGGAATCTGTCTGGTACCCGTTCTGCTGTAGTGAGCATGGGTATAATTATACCCAAGTATGTATATCTCATTCAAGTATCTTGTTGCTTTGTCACAAAATTGCTTTGTCTGAGTCTGACTTTATCCTTTCTCTTGAATTTGCATAGATCGACAAACAGTTCATGAACTACAAACAATCTAACTACGAATATTGCCATCGATTAAAGTAGCCCCAAAAAGGTCATCCGGGTTGCGCAGGGCGCCCTACACCATGAGGAACTTGGACCCTGATCAGCTTCCGAACTCGACTCTTTGTTGGAGTGCCACAGTGGCCTTTTCGATAATCTATTATCTTATTTCCCCCCGAAAAATTGTATGCTCAATCCTTCAACTAATTTTCCTGTCTTTCATATGTATCCTATGCTTGAGCAGGAGCCACGACGTCTCAAGTTCCAAGTAGTATTTTATTGAAATTTTCTTCAACATGAATAAATTCAAGCAACACATTGGCCTGGCACCAATATTAGAGCCAGAATTTTGTTCATTATGAATACTTTTAGTGGTTACTGTGATCTACTCCACTCCTGAGATTTGCAGAAGACTGTACTCTAGGTAAAGCTAATCGGTCAAGTGAGTCTGTTCAATTTAAGGGCTCCCAGTCAAAGTTGAACATTAAATAGAAAAAAAGTTTCCCCCGGGATGAGTTTCTATTCACAACGAGACCCAGAAGTATGTATCTTCCATATTCTTGAGAGGGTGTTCTTGCCTAGAACCAATCAAGCTTGATGCCTTGAATGCTCACTACAGGTCTGGAACACATGTTGAGATTGATCGCACACTGCGTGTGGAATGAAGTTCTGAGGCTCGAGGTGCTCCGGGCAGCGTGGAATCACCCCAGCTATCACCGTCGTGCACAACCAATTTGGGCGTGCCAAATGACATTCAGCGCATGTTTTCTGTTGGAGGCATAAGCGGAAGGTTGCCTCGATGAATGCTTGGGCACACTGGTTGGGATCACAGCGCCTGCTTACACATATCGCTGGTGACAAATTTGTGATGAGTATCACTATAGCCACTGCCCCCCACATCCGACGGGGGTGTCGCATGTTCTGAGGTTGGGGTGGGCAGTCGTGAACCAGTTGGAGCTGGGAATTGAACGGATGTTTCCAAGACATGTTGAGGTAGCTTTGTGCACAGTGCAAGTGGATAGATGTGGGCGATTGACCGTTGGTAGATTGACGGGCAGTTTGTTATTTTCAATGTGTACTTAGCCCCCCCGCCCCCGTTTGCTTGTTCCCCACCTTTTCATTATTCATGGACTACCATCAGTCCATAGTCATCACCATGGATCACAATCAATCGGTAATGGACCCAAGAATGGCTTCATTCACCCAGACCAAATCTGTAATAAAAACATTGAAAATTTGAAGTTCACCCCATCCAACCCTGAAATATTTTCAGCATTGATCTTGATTATGACAGAAGTTGACACCATAAGGATTGTAGGTCAAAGTGGCAGTTTTCTAGTTTGACACTGCGAACAAACAGTTGGCAAAGGTTACATCAATTTTCAAAGTCTGCCTTTCACTTTTGACACCAAGTTTGGAATTGACCTCCTCAAATTATGATTAGATTGATTTACATGCATGTTTACATATGTATCAATCAAAAAGAAAGAGGGCGGTATCACAGTTTTCTTGTTGATTGGCTATTCACTTGGGCATTCATTTAATGAGAACAACTGATGTAAAGAAACATGGGGAGGTTTAAGATTACATCTGTCACACAGGAAGAGAGATTTTAAACACAGTGGAACTTGAAGCAGGAGTTAAGAAGGAAGGGAGAGGATTGGGTGGCGGATGGCTGTGTGTATAAATTTTTATCCCACTTATGTGCAGATCTTGACTTGAGGGGTGTATACATAAGTTCAAGTCTCCTGATCGGTTGCTAAAACAGACATCCTTCACCGATAACATCAACAACAACCAAAGAGGGGGTAAAACAAACTTGACAAGGACTGGACGAGAATCAAGAGGTTGTAGAAGAAGCATTCGCAGTTCCTGGAATAGTCCCTTCGTCGATCCAGCTGGCCTCGACGGTAGCCCGGACTTTCTTGATATAGTCCTTCATGTTATCCCTGTACAGATTAGCAGCTTCTGCATTGGCAGGTCTACATATTTTTTATTCATCAATATCATTTAGCTGGGTCCATTTGTATTCAAGCCTTAAAATTGAAAATGGATATATCAGGGTGAGGTCGGGCTTACGAGTTAGGATTTGGATCATGCAGTAAAGATTGCACGGAAGTCAAAATGGCGGCCACATCGTAAGTTGGGGACCAACGGTTTTGCAAGATGTCCAGACAAAGCTCTCCATTTGCATATACGTTAGGATGAAACATTTTCGAGAGGAATTTCACCGTCGGGGCTGTTGACGAAGACCGAGTGAAATGGCCCCAAGTAGATTCGAGGATTTTAAGCTCGATTTTCATTCAGGAAGGTGACATGAGGAACATACGCTTGTTTGGGTAAGATTCATCAAATGTCAAGATCAATCGAAAGGTTCCATCTTCGAATGGCGTATCGGCTGCGTGATGAAATCCAGTCAGTCGTCCAGTGATCAGTATTTTCATTCAAAACGATATTAAATAAATCAAATGGAGTAGAGTGTAGCGATATAATGGCAATAGCGCGTTCAGAAAGGTCTACGTTGTCGGTGTAAAATCGTTCCAACCAAAACAAAGAGATAAGGCGAGGAAATCGATGTTGAGACTGACCAGGGCCAAAGATGACGGCGTTCCAGATCATGATGTTATCAGGACATGGTGCACCACTGATCCCACCTGGAGGGTCCGAGGAAAGTCGCTTGAAGTCCCGAATCAATCGTCTTCGAGAGGCGGTGGACTACATGCGAATGTGAAAGCAGAGAGGGCTAAGTTGTAGTGCAAATGATTTGATTGAGATGCCAATGAAGAGGATAATAATTCGTACCATCTTGTATTATCCTTCTTGGTGATCTTGTGCGATTTATATGTAGGCTGATGATGGTGTTGATGATGGTTGTGAGATGAAGTGTTTTCGGTTGTTGGATCGATGGAGTGGTTGGTTGCCGGGTGCCCCAGAACTTTAAGCTCTCGGCCGGCTGAGTCCGCTCGGCCAGAGAACTACGGGGTCCCGATCCCTCCCGAGGTGCTCAGTGCTTTCTCCCCCGGGGGATCTGTCGCAACTCTGTCAAAAGCACCCCATCCTGCCCCATTCGCTGACTTCCGTCAAGAATCATCCGGCCACAATCCCCACTGAGATTCGGTGACAACTTCGGCAGACAGAGTTGGAAGTCCCCGTCAGTCTGAGGCCGCCAAGAGCCACCAAGTCTAGGACACTGCAAATCATAATTCCAGAGCTTGTAAATTTGGGAATCAAGACAGCTGACCTGTCCAAGAGATGCGGCGAAAAGTTCTCCGATTCCTAGTTGAGAAGGAAAGTTACAATTCCAATGAATCGAAGCAGTCATGTGCGAAGTCTCTATGGAGTGAGTGCTGATTTGGCGCAAGTTACACCGAAGTGCCTCACTTCGATCATGATCAAGCCTCGCTTGAGACGTGTCTACAAGCACGTATGAATCACTTCAGGAACCAGTATTACTATGGGTAGCTCTAATACTTTCAACCTCTGGATAGAGATGCCGTTTGGTCTGCTTTTCTTCGGCCAAGAAGCGCAAGTAATTTGTAGATAAATTCAAAGTCTTCACGCTCATAAATACGACCAAGGATGATTTCTTTTGGGCATGGTATTCAACTGGTTTTGATGTATCTCGGACTGTGTATTGTTTGTGAAGCTTCAGAACGCCCATCATGGGAACCTTTTGACCTCAACTTGCCAGCTCCTATCGATCTCGACCCACCGACGTCTCCTGATCACAATCATCTGCCCGTGCCTATTGATTACCCCAACAAGCCGATGTCTCTTGACATGAACCTACCACTTTGCTACCTGCAGGATCAAGTTTCCAGCAGTAGGGTTTCCCCAAAAAAGACTGGAGTGGAAAACTGCAGGCAGATCGACAATGTTGCCACTTCAGCTGTTTCTCCCATTCAGAGCTCTAAGGAGCCTTTGGTACCTTGTAAAGCTGAGCAAAATTGTGAGACTTCGAGATTGCCAGCTCCTATGGATCCAAGAAAGGCAATATCTTGTCATGAGGGGTTACTCAAACACTCTTTTCAGGCTCATCCAATTGTCCCAATGCAAGGATCACCATACCACCAGAGTTCTGTCAAAGATACTACAATGGTGCCTCATAGCCAAGCTGATCCTGAAGGCAAGAAACCTGAAATTTCTCCACAGCAAATTCTGAAAATGCAAGAACCTAGGAAACAAGTGTCACCCATGTTCAACAGGCTCACCAAAAAGATTCCACCCAAAAAGAAGATCAGTAAAACACCTGAACACAAGTATCTCAATAAATTTGAAATTGGAAAAATTGTTCAATCAAATCCCCCAAGAATACTAATGAATCAAGCCTCACAAGGTCTTGGGACACCTCAAACAACACTTTGTCCAACCAAAGAGGTTAATCTTGGACAAACCCATGAGGGTCAATCATCCCAAAGAAAAATCTGTCTTTCAGCAGCTAATGATCAAAAGCAGATCTCATCTCTAGGCCCCACAAACAATGAATCAGCCCCATACTCAGGGATATTTCCTGTCTTAGATTCAAATAAGCTGATTGCTCAAATTGGAAAATATGGAATCACAACGTCTTTGAGTCAAAAAAGTCCAAGCCATCAAAGCCTGCACAACAAAGCATTATCAGAACAAGAAAAACATTCTTCTGAAAGGGAGATTCCCAAGCTACAATCTAACCACAAAACGATCATTCAAGAAAAGAACAAGATACAGATTAATGACATACTCAAGTTGGATGATGAAGCTTTTAATGTTGATGAGAACTTACACAACTCACACCAATACAAAATAAAATCATTTGTTTCGGGAATTAGATTCATATCAGAAAGAAACATGCCAGAACTCAAACCAGAATACATTTACAGCATCTTTTGTGATTTTGCAGCTCATATCCCATACAAGAAAGCTGTCCGAAATCCAATAAAAATCCAATCAAATGGATATGATATCAATCCAGATACACAGTTAGATGTTATATTCAGAAGTCTGATTACTCATAGGGTTTTATGGTTCAAGTTTTGGCATCAAAGGACTGGAATCAATCTTGAGACAATCGAATTTCAGGGCACAAAGTCCCAAAAATATTCTTCTAAAAATAAGCTAACTTTGCTTCTATTTTACATTGATCTCATCAGTACTGTTCTATGGAAATATCATAAATCTGATCCAGATCTCATGGAAGATGATAGCTCACTGCTCAAAAGAGCCATGAACTTAATATATGAAGTGGAAGCCAAACAGTTCCATAATCATAGATTTGAAAGCCTCTCCAATTCTAAGCAGAACCTCAAAAAACCGAATACAAACCAGTTTTCTTTTCTTTGGAACTGGATTGCCACTTTAGTCTCTAGATATGGTAGCAAAAAATTACAAAGCATTGTATTTTATAATGGGAATGGTTATATTTCTAGAATTATCCAAAGAGGTTTTTGTGAGATTTGTGTCTATTCAATTGGTGGCTTAAACAAGAGATTGTCAACTTTCTATCCCTCTTAGAGATAATCCATCCAGACATCATTTTTCTATATCCATTATGAAGTATTGAATGTCCAATCTGCCAATATCTGTTAAGTTAGTACTAGAATATGCATTCCTTTTTTGGAGATATTAAATCCAGCAACTTGAATACTGTGAAGGATTCAGGCAAGCACCACTCATTTAAATTACAATCTTAAGGGTCTGTTTGCTCTGATTCTCAATCAAAAAAATTCCTCTTCAACCTTCATGAAATACTTTCACAAACCAAATCTTCAACATAACTCTTTAAATCAATCAAAAATCTTAGATTACTCTCAGGTTCAACTACATACCTAGATCATTTTAGCTGGGTAATTTATACTCTTAGATATATCCATAGCATTTGATGTTTAAGGGTCCAATTAATTCCCTGTTTCTGCTGTTTGGTCTTGCTCCTGTTTCATTGTGCCAACCCAGACCAGTGCAGCCGAAGCTTAAGCAGCCCCTCTGTGAGTGTGTCACAGGGAACAATCTTGTTAACGTCTCCAAAGGCCTCTCAAGGCTTCAATCTTGGCCACCCGGGGTGTCGGGGGGTGTCCCAGACACCCATCCCGGCCTCCTGACCCCGGGTGGTACTACTTGGGGTGTCACCCCGGGTGGTGCCATTCGGGTGTCACCCTCAGTCTCGCCGGTTGGCGAGCCGATGCGGTCAACAACAGCCAACAACCCTCGATCGGACTGCTCACTTCCTCTCCATCTTGCCCTGTTGTTCTTGACAAAAACATCATCATTCCCTGGGTGATCTACAGCTTACTGCCCTCATTGTTTTCTTTTTTTCTGTCATCATGCCTCACTCCAACTCCAAGAACCATCAACCCGGCAAATCGACTTCTCGGGAAGCTAAGTGTGACGACGATCGGATCCGATCGTCCCGGAGGCAAAGCTACAACACCTCATCCGAACCGAAGCTGATTCAGAAAAAGTGGATGGAGAATTGTTATGATGTGGTGACGGGCGACGACTCTCGATTCTCCGCTCAGAAGACCGTCCGGGCAAACCGTGTGGTGGAACGAAATGAAGGATCGCGGCGCCAATCGACTTCAACCGTTGAGCCCAAGGCGGCATCGAATCATACGCCAGTTAATCGGGGGCCGACGACTACCGGACCCACCGTCAATCGGTTCATCAGTGACGACGAGCGAGACTTTGAGATGGCGTTGTTCCAACTCAAACAAGCTAAACTAGTCAATGATACGGTCAAAGACTTGGTCGCCACCTTCCCGCTCGAAAGTATCCTCTCTGCCAACGGCCGCAACTTCAGTCAATGGGCAAACGATCTCGAGAAGATCGGCTCGGGACGATTCATGAGACCGAATTTTTTCACTACTCCCTGCGATAATCGCACGTTTGAGAAAATGGGAAAAGAGTTGATCCTGGCTACCATCCACTCGTCGCATGTCCCCGATCTCGAGAACATCGAAACCTCGCACGAGATGTTTGATCTGTTGAAGAAGAAATGTACTTCTATCTCACGCGCCGGCCAAATGAAGATCTGGAACCAGTTCGTGTCCTTCACCATCAATCCCAACGACTCAGCTGAGAGCATCGCAACGACTTTGAAAGACATGTACGCCGAATGGGAGGCCATGAATGTGTGGATGCACTCCGATGTCTTTCTTGGTTTCTGCTTCCAATCAGCAGTCATGAAATCTTCGGTCCCTTTCAAGAAAGAGTTTGAGCTTCAAGTTGAAAATCTCGTCCAAGAACATCCAAGACACCCAGTCCCGACATTTCGATCACTGACTAACATCTACGAATCTTGCAAACAACAACATAAGCAAGCTATGGCGGCCAATACAAGTTCCGGACAGCCATCTTCTTCCGAGGGTCCTACTCCACTGCCTGCTGCTGAAGTTGATCCTGATCCTCCTTTGTATTACGCTTGCATACCGGAACCCAACCAGTGTCTCCTGGAATGGCAAACATATCTCAAAGAACGGTACGATGAACGGAACAGACAGTAGTGAATATGGTGTGTTACCCAGCAATCTATGACACTTTGTTTATGATTTTTAGATTCCTGTCTGAATTTTTTTCCATTGTCGGTAGCTACTTACAGCCCTCCAGCGATTCTACATAATCTTGCCAATCTTTATACACTCCCGAATTCCCAGCATCCGATTAAATTTCCATCCGTCCAGGATATTTTTGTGAATTGCTCAATCAGTACCTTGGATCGATCTTTAGGACAGCACTCAAGAATCATCTTCTATTGGTCCTCGATGGTAATCACAGGGACGGCTTTGAAATCTTTAGAAACCAATGTTGACCTTTCCTTCAGCTGTCCCAAAAACAATTATCCCAAAGAGTTTTGAAAGGCTACACACAGTGATGCAAATCGGATCTTCTTGTTTCTTCCATATCTTCAACTGTTGATGACTGTGATATCCTTGATTCTCTCATCACACACTTGCTTGTAAATCTTGTTCTTCCTCTGTAAACTGGTCTTCAAACCCATCTTGGATTCCCGATTTTACCTGTTTTTTTAACTGTTTCTTCACTAGCTGATGATCTGTTTTCTTCAACACATCAGATATCCATGATTTTTCATGTCCTCTCATCCCTTCTTGAAAAAAGAAAAAAAGAGGGTTGAATTAGCTGAAATGTGTAAAGAGCTATGGGTGTTTGAGACGTTGAGTCCCTGATCAACAGGAAGTGTGAAGAGTTTGGCGAAACAGACCTACGATAATTATCAGAGCAGATGATTTGAATTATGGAGGATGTGGAGCTGGTGGACTATTAATTGAGACAAGTATCTACCAACTGATCACACTAGATATATAGATTCATTGCCCGGTATGCTTGATCAATAAAAGCACCAAAATTGATGGGCTAATTGGTCCTGATATTATGAGTGTCCAATATACAGAAAATGAAAATCAGTGTGGCTGGTCTGATCACCAGCCATTTTCCAGGTCACTGCAGCTCTTGATGTGACAGCATTTAACAATTCATTGAAAGAGTGGGGATGTGATGGAGGATGTGTACTCTAGTTGGGGCTGGAAATCATATGCTCAAGAGTTTGATGAAGCATTTGACTCCAAGTTGAGTTTTTGTTCTTGTTTTGTAGCTTGCTCTTTTGGTGTACTTATTGACAGTGACTTTGATAGCCAACAAATATGATCTTGACATGCTTTCTGTTTATCATAGTCCTCTGTTAATGCTATGGGAAAGGTCTCTTGTCTATCAACTCGTTGCAATGGCTCTAGGACTGACTAAATGTTTGTGGAACCATTGAAGGATGTGGTTCATTGCAAGAAGAAGAAAAAAAGAGAGAAGAAAGAGTTGAAAAGAAGCTCACTTGGGGACAAAAAAAAAACATAAAAAAAAACCCAAGAAACTTCACCTTTCATGGGCAGTTCATCAATGGATCTGGAAAAGTTTAGGTTAGCAAGTGCACACCACCCCCTTAAAATTTTGTGTGATGTGCACAGGGGATTCAATGATTTTGGAACACTCACCTTTGGCTGCTCCTCAACTGGGAGCCCAACTATCTCCAGTGGCATTGTATTTTTGATTGCTTTGTACATATACTAAGACTAGTCTATATTATTCAAGATTGAGTTGTTTGTAATTACAGATGGCTGGCAGGTGAGGATTATAAGGTGGACAGGTTGAGATAGATTGGAGAGAGATCTGCAGCTGTCTTTGTCTTTTTTTTGAGATCCAGATCTGAGCCAGGGGGGCAGTTGGTTTGGTTGTTTCAAGGGGGGTCTGAAGCTGTAGAAGGGGGGGGTCCTTGTCTTCCCTCGGACCTCGGTTGATAAGTTTCGAACCTTAAAAAGCTGACAACCACTCTCCCCTCTTCCGCTACCCTTGTTGACCTCCTTGTTTACCTCCCTCTTTTCTTTCTTCTCTTTTTTCGCAGTTCTTCAGTCTCGATTAGCCCAATCCCAACCCACATCACTGGCCACCATCAACTTGCAGTCGAGATGTTCGGCCCAAAGCAAAGCCTCGACTCACAAGCACGCCCACTGAGTAAGGTTGACTATTCTAATCCTAACGATGATATCCTCAATGAGGACTATGATCATCCACACCAATCATCACATCAGGCCTCCCCACATTCGACCAAATTCCAAACTGAGAAACTTCCTTCTTCGAAACCACGCACCAAACCCTGGGTCAAATTCGGTCTCCCTGCCGTCCTCCTAGCCATCATCCTCGCCATCATCCTCGGCGCCGTTCTGGGCAGTCGCCAGCACTCCAACAAGGATGGCGATCCGGCCTCCATTGGCTCCTTGTCCTCGGCCGGCGCCGGTTCCAGTGCTGGAAAGGATACCAACCATGTCCTCTTCTCCGGATACAACTCCTACGGGGTCCCCCAATACCCTTCCTCGGCCAGCCAACTCTTCAACACCCCGCCCACCTTCTCAAGCTCGGCTAACCTTGGATGGGGTACCGACCCCAATGCGCCCGACAAATCCGGCTCCTCCGTCCGCCAGGACCATCCCAGACTCTTCGCACCCGCCTACAAGTGGGAACGTCTCCCCGCTCTCATCAAAGTCGACCCCTACCTCAAATCCTGGAACGATACCATCTTTGCCAATGCTACCTTGCTCTACAACATGGAGCCCACTAATTACTCCATCGATGGTGGCTACAGTGGCTCTGGTGTTTTAGATGTCGCCAGAGAAGTCCAGCTCCGTCTCAAACATTGGGCCTACGCTTATCGTACCACTAAGGACACTAAGTGGGTCGATCGCGCTTGGAGAGAACTTTCAGACTGCCGCGGGTAACACTACTCAACCCTTCGGGAGAACTGGCAACAATTGGAATACCGAGTTTGCTCTTCCCATTCACTCCTCTAACCCCCCCCCCCCGCTAATTGTTTTCACTTTTCTATTGCAGTCATTGGCTCGACGTGGCTGAATTCACTATCGGATTTGCGATTGCGTATGACTGGATGTACGAAGCCTGGACGGCAGAGCAAAGTAAGCAACATTATTAAACCCGATCGCAGGAGGCTTTACAAGAGAACTAAAGAAGATGAAAAAAAAAAACCATAGGGAATGCGATTATGTGGTCGATCATCAACCTGGGCTTACAGAAAGGGATCCAATCACATGCGACCAATGCCTGGTTCTTGACCACCAATGGGAACTGGAACTGTGTGACGAACGGGGGGATGGTCGTGGGATCCTTGGCGATCATGAACGAGGATCCCACGGGGACGGCCTCCAAACTGCTCCCCTTGGCCCTCCAATCCGCCGCCACTAATTGCGTTAATGCTGTCTCGCCTGACGGCACTTGGAGCGAGACCGCCGACTATTGGTACATTCCCTTCATCCAATCCCCTTCTTACATACATATTTACCCCTTTTGGGTTTTTATAGGTACTTTGGATCCCAAGGACATGCTCATATGGCCTCGGCTTTACAAACTGCCACCGGAAGTACCCATCAAATGTTGACGGCTAACCCCTCCTTCAATCTGACCGGTCTCTACCACATGTATGTCTATGGTAACACTTGTAAGTCCTTCTCAACTCGATCTGGTTTAGGATCGTCCTTGACTCTTTTGTGTTTGTTGGTTATTTAGTCAAAGCCAATACCGGCGATTGTGGACCCAACAAATACATCGCTACTGCTAATCCAATGCTTTACTATGGAGATCAGTTCCAAAGTTCAGCCAATTTTTACCCTCCACTCCGCTTTGAAGTTTATATGGCACTGACTGAAGTGAACAAATCGACTCCAAATCGAAGTTCCTCGATACATTCTTTACCAACGCGATCGAGCGGATGCGGCGGATCCATTGAGCATGTTTTGGTATAACCCACAAGCCTCAGGGGGGTGGTTTATCGACCTCCCCTTAGACCACAACTTTGGAGACCCGAGTGACAGTTGGGTGTCGATGCGCTCCTCATGGACGAACACGGATGGGGTGTTTGCGTCGGTCAAGGCGGGCAATCTGACGGGCCATCAGACCCATGGAAACCTGGATGCAGGCGACTTGACCTTGGACGCGATGGGCGAACGGTGGGTCGGACAGCTCTGTCAGAACGATTATCTCGGCGCCGGGTACTTCTCTTCCGAAGGTCTCAACAGTCAGAGATGGCTCTACTATCGATGTCGGACCGAGGGCCAAAACACGATTCTTTTGGGCGGCTTGAACCAGAATCCAACTTCCGTTAATCCTGTGCTCAAGTTTGAAACGACTGGAGAAGTCCAGAATAATATCAACTTTAATGTGAATTCGGGCCAATCTACGGCCTATTGGATCGCCGATCTCTCCGAGGCTTATAATGGCACCAACGTCAAGAGGGGATTGAGGATGATCAATGGGCGCTCTCAGGTGCTTGTCCAGGACGAAATCGCCGCCTCGCCGCTCGCTGCTCAATGGCGGATCCACACGAATGCTACGATCAATATCGCCGGTGACGGGATGACTGCCAGTTCAGTCCCCTTTCTTTTTATCATGTCTCTGAACAAGAAGAAAAAAAACTGATGTATATTATTTGTATGTGTTGTAGATATGAACTTGAATGGGAAACAAATGGTAGCGACGATCCTATCGCCTGCGGGAACCAAGTTCACCACTTTGGATCCGATCCGATTGCCCAGCTCGCCTCCGGTCCCTTCAGGCTCGCCTGACCTCCCTAACCCTGGAGTGAAAGTGCTCGCCATCGATCTTCCCGCTTCGGCTAACGCTGGATCCATAGTCTCGGTCTTGTTTAGTCCCCAGTGGAAAGACACTTCGGCGGCCGCTTCGAAGTCTACTAAGGTCGTCCCGCTCGATCAGTGGAGCTTGTCTTCTCATAATTAAGATCCCCTCAACCCCCCCCGTTTTTGTTCTGTGGCCTTCTTTTCGATTTTTTTTTTTTTTTTTGAATCGGTCTTTTTCTTTTTTTGTTTGGTTAGAATGAACAACAAAAAAGATAGGTTGGCAGCTTGATTGGTTAAGACATTAGAGGGAAGAAAGAAAGAAAGAAAGAAAGAAAACAAGGTCAAGAATAAGGAGATCAAGAAGCAGGAGTCAATCGACTATTCATTCGGACCTTGACTCTGGTGCTTGTTTTTATCCTCAGAAACAAAAAAAACAAATACAACAAATCATCCAACTTTCTCTCCTTCTACTTTACTACTTTACTACTTTACTACTTTCCTACTATACTACTTGACTACTTCACTACTACTTGACTACTACTACTATTATTATTATTAATACTAGCTCTTTCTTTTTTTTGAGTAATAAAAATTTTATTTATTATGGACCCTATTTTTTTTTTTTTTTGGAGGAGGGGGAGGGGATAGGAGAAAGACACCAGGATGTTGCTTGAGTCCAAAGAGCCTTAAGAACTTGTGTATCCCCAAGCCTGACCCTGGTGTGGTTAGGTGTACAGTAGATTTTGGAGAATGAAAGACTTTCACTCCATTTTTTTTGGAGTGAACAATGGGTTCACTCCATTTTTGGAGTGAACAATGGGCTCACTCCATTTTTGGAGTGTCTGCAATGTAGTAAAATGTTGGAGTGCATTTAGTCTGAACCTTATGCCCAATGAAAAATGTTTTTTTTTTTTTGGGCCTTAATAAAAAAACACGGTTTTTCCGCGTTTACACGCGGTTTTGCTGCGGCACAGCGCACGCGGTTTCCGCGTTTAAACACGGTTTTGTAATTAATTTTTTACCGCTTATTTTTTGAGTTTTTTTGACTTTTTAAAATTGTTTCCTAGGTTTCCAAGCGCTTAGAATTTAATGGTAAAAACCATTTTCCATAAAAATGAATTTTAATTATTAATTATTTTTTTTCACTCATTTCTCAATTAATTGTTTGCAAACATGTTTGTACCCTATTTTTTATGTTTTTTTGAAATTTTGAAGTTGTTTCCTACATTATAAAGTGTGTAGAATTTTATGGTGAATTCCAATTTTTATAAAAATGAATGTTCATTTTTAATACTAAAATTAGACCCATTTTTTCTCTTAATTTTTTACAGCTTAATTCTTATCATTTTTTGACATTTTAAATTTATTTCCTACAATTTAAGACATGCATAAAATTATGGTAACAGCCATTTTTCCCCAAAATGAAAACTATACCTTGAATGCTGCATTTGACACATTTTTTTAATTAATCCTTCACGTTTTCACTTAATTGTTTGCATACATGTGTGTACCTTATTTTCTATGCTTTTTTGAAATTTTAAAGTTTTTGCCTACATTTGAAAGTGTGTAGAATTTAATGGCAATATCCAATTTTCTTAAAACTCAATGGTTCATTTTTAATACTGAAAATAGACACTTTCTTCAATTAATTCTTTACATGTTATTTCTCAATATTTTTTGACATTTTAAATTTATTTGCAACACTTTAAGACATGATTAAAATGATGGTAACAACCATCTCACATAAAAATCAGCGCTTGTTACTGAACACTGTGTTGGACAGGTTTTTTTAATGGTTTTTCAATTGGTTTTTACCGGATTAATTTTGAGCATTTTTTGAAATTTTAAATCTATTTCCTAAATTTAAAAATGTGTAGAATTGAATGGTGAAGTTCAATTTCACCAAAAATACAAGCTTCAATCTTAATAGATGAGTGTACCCCGTTTCTTGCATAAGTTGTACCATCTACGAATTTTATTTGAATGCAAAATGGATACAGCCATCAATTTTGAAACCTTTAAAAGTGTAGGAAATGAGCTTGAAATTCCAAAAAACAAGGATAATTGAGCGTGTAAGAATGAATTTGGGAAACGCGTCAAAGGCATTATTCAAGACCTAGTTTTCATTTTGATGAAAATCCATAGTTACCATGATTTTATACATGTTTGAAAGTGTAGGAAAAGAATTTAAAATGTCAAAAAATAATGAAAAATAAGCTGTTAAAAATCAATTGAAAAATACGACTCATTACAGTATTCAGTATGAACCATTTAGTTTTATGGAAATTGAATGTTACCATTAAATTCTAAACACTTTTTAATGTAGGAAACAAATTTAAAATTTCAAAAAAGTATAAAAAATAAGGTACACACATGTATGCAAACAATTAACTGAAAAAGTGATGAATTAATTAAAAAAAACATGTCAAATGCAGCGTTCAAGGTATAGTTTTCATTTTGGGGAAAAATGGTTCATACCATAATTTTTTACATGTCTTAAAGTGTAGGAAGAAAATTTGAAATGTCAAAAAAGAATGAAAATTAACCTGTAGAAATTTAAGTGAAAAAATGTGTCTAATTTCAGTATTAAAAATGAACCATTCATTTTTATAAAAATTGGAATTCACCATAAAATTCTACACACTTTATAATGTAGGAAACAACTTCAAAATTTCAAAAAAACATAAAAAATGGGGTACAAACATGTTTGCAAACAATTAATTGAGAAATGAGTGAAAAAAAATAATTAATAATTAAAATTCATTTTTATGGAAAATGGTTTTTACCATTAAATTCTACGCGCTTGGAAACCTAGGAAACAATTTTAAAAAGTCAAAAAAACTCAAAAAATAAGCGGTAAAAAATTAATTACAAAACCGTGTTTAAACGCGGAAACCGCGTGCGCTGTGCCGCAGCAAAACCGCGTGTAAACGCGGAAAAACCGTGTTTTTTTATTAATGCCCTTTTTTTTTTTTTTTTTTTTTTTTTTTTTTTTTGAAAACATGGATATTCATAGTGCACAGAAATCAAAGAATGGAACATAATTCCTTCCGGTCAATTACAATGTAGGGATTCCTTTCAGCCAACAAGGTATGCAATATTCTGCATGACTGACCAAGAAATTAATGCCAAGATCATTGTTTGTTTAATCCCGACAGTTTTACTGCAAGACTCAAAGAATAGGTGAAACTTTGGAGTATGAGCAGCTTTGCGCCAATAGTCTCTTGATGGATGGCGAAGCTTGAGATGATAGTACACTACCGGGCCATGCCAGCGGTCATAATGGAGGACATGTTCCACTGGGGCTCAAATGTCATATTTTCTTCACCTGATTAGTAGAGTACTGTCATCAGAAAATCAGTCCTCTCCATTCAGGTCAATCTGCAGCCGCTGCACTCCGGTATAGGTTTACCTCAGCTCAAGTAACCAAAAGCTTCTCCGCAAGCTCCACACCTGCATGATTCTCACATGTTTCTTTCCACTTCGATCTTGTTCTCTCGGGAGGGAAGATACATACATTGTAGATATGTGTATAGGTGGTTCAACTTCAAGGGGCAAGAAGTTGTAAAGCGTCTCGGTTACCGATCAACAAACACATGGCCGTTGAAACTCAAGACAAACCCCTACAAAGGCATCTAGAGTAGCAGCCATTGACACAAGTCAACATGGTTATCAGACCGGCATGTCCAACACCATACTAACTGTGACGATTGTTCCGGTTGATTGATAATCCGTCTGCAGGCCAACGGAACTGGTCCCATCGCGGAGATGAGCAAATCGTCACGTAAGCGGTGTTCGAAATTGCGGAGTATATGGCCCCCGCGCAGAGCTTCCAGGTCCAACAACTTAAGACTTCTGATATGCCTGACCAAGCTGTTCCCGGATCTGTTACCCTTCATCCAGAGATCGGACCCACTTGTCTGAGATCTTGTACCGCCCGCCTTTGAATTTATTGTGCAGGCTCGATGACCATGTGCGAAAATACTTGGTCGGGTAAGTCATAGAGGCCTTATTGGACTTGTCTGTCCGAATAGCTGACGGGGAAGTGTTCATTTATTGTCACCTGCGATTGTGGTAGTACATACAATGTAGACTGCGAGTGCCGAGCATCGACTGTCCCGTCATAAACTGGTCAAGCATTGGCCAAGTGTCCAAATGTCGAGCCTTCTTCAATTATTTACATAGCATGGGTCTCAAGTCCCTCGCTGCTTCACGTCAAGGGCTTGATACAGCCAATCCAACCTGGGGAGCTTGCGCAAGTCAGCAGCCGGGTCATGTCAAGCCTACGTGAAGGTGACGCTGCAACTCGGACAGTCGTGCATTGAGTATGTCGCTGGATCCGGGCTGCGGAAAGCTCCCCGCCACAGTCAGACCGAGGGCCAGGGGCTGTCGACCCGAGTGGATACTTGTCTATTCTTGTGCGAACCACCAGGCGGTGCATGGAGAAAAGCTGGTCGGACAAAACCAGCCGAACTATTGCTTGGGGCACCAATTCGTCCGGCCGGTCATTGCCAGCAATATGGCGCGTTGAGGTTGCTACCCGCAGTGACCTGCCCGAAATCCTAGGGGCGAGTTTGTGCCACGAGCATATTCACTGAGCCCGGTGTCGCCAAGAGTTGACACCTCGGGCATATGTCAGCGTGCGGGACCAGTGTGATGAATTGTGTATGAGCAGAGCAATGGCTCCGTGCTCACACAATGTTCGACATGTCCAGGTGGACTGGTGCCCGCTCCTTGCCAGTTTTTGCTTGTTCTCCTCTCTTGCCGACCTCTCTATTTTTTTCCTTGTCTTGGATATTTAAGCTGGATACCTTTGCGGTTGATCTCTTCTTCCCCAGTCACAACTACATCTCGCTTTCGATCCAGCTTGCCTTCCTTTTACATATCGGATACCATTGATTGCACCTTAGTCTATTCATTCAAAGCCTAGCTCTACTCCGGATTTTGAAGAAATTTTTTGTTTCAACAAGCAAACGTTACTTTAAGCTTTAAAGATAACAAAAATTGCGGAACGTTAACCGTTTGAATTAGTAGACTTCGGAAGACTTCTATTAGATAAATCTTCACCAGGTCAAAGAAACTCACGGTTACACTCAGACTCTTCAACATGCTATCCCTGTGCAGAGTATCCAGCATGATTGTAGTTGTGGTTTGGGCTTTTCCATCAATGATCACTCCTGCCATCACAAGTATAGTACCTTCAAGTGCAAAATATAACAAGACCCCAGATGTGGTTCAGGATCTAGAGAGAAACTATCCAGCCCATGCCTGTAACTGTGGTGCTGAACCAGGGCAATCACACGATTCATCTTGTTGGATAGTTCAAAACGGTGATTTATCAAACCCCATCATTGAGTGAAAAAGCATCAACACAAGAGGAGCTTTGCATGTATGTAACCACAAGTCCATCTTTTGAAAAAAAAAATGAAAATGTGTACTCAAGAATGTTGAAATTGCCTCAAAACTCAAAAAAAGCAACCTCTCAACCCTATGACCCCCCCCAACTGTTTAAGCAAATCTCTCTTGAAAATTTCAAATTGGGTCAAGGTATCCATCACAATTTACAAACAAGAAGAACCTCAAGAATATTTAGTTAGATGGATTGTCAACTTAACCTTTGGTACTGTTGAGATACCTGTGACATCTCAGTTCATGTTGTATGCTTCTTTCTGATTTCACTTCTCTCATGTCACACTCTTTGACATTCACTTGTTTTCCTTTTAGTTCATATACTGGATTCAGTTGTGTTTGGGAGGCTTTCTTTTCCTCATCCTTTCCAACACTTCTGTCTCCAGGTATGTTCTTTTCTTTCTTCTCATTTTCACTTTCTTTATGTTGAAATGAATCATGATCCTTTCCAACACTTCTGTCTCCAGTCATCTGAGTTCATCTCAACAGGTACCAGCCTTCCTGTTGGAATTTCACTAATCCCAATGGCTTTGTGACTGTATCCTTATTTCCCATTGCTTTGATTGATCTCATCTTGTCTGATCTCATCTTGTAAGTTGTCTGAGATCATCTTTCCAAAATCATCTTTTCTGAAATCCCTTGCCTGCCAAGCTCCTGGTTGTGTATTTCTGGTGCCTGGTAGTAATTGAACCTTGCTCAACAGGGCTAATAAATTCTCTTGTTTGTGTTTATTTTCTGCTGAGTTCTGTTCAATGTTGATGTTGGTTTTATAGAAAAAATAGGCGCAGAGAGTCTTTGATAGACCGACGAAGTGTAAGTCACTACACGAGATGGGATGAAGAGAGACGAGCGAGCACACCTTTGATAGACCGACGAAGTGTAAGTCACTACACGAGATGGGATGAAGAGAGACGAGCGAGCACACCTGGTTGTGCAATGAGAGTTGAAACAGAAAATGAAACTGAATGAGAAAAAAGAAAAAGCAAGAAACGGTACAACGTGTTTGCTACTTAAATAGAGTTCTCAATTAGGTTTCAAATAGGTTACAACTGTGAGTATCACTATACAACCGGTTGCCGAGTATGCTACTGCTGAGGTAATCTCAACACCCCCCCTTGCTCAATACCGGTTTATGTTGAGCTTGATGATTGAATCGATGTGCTTTTTCTTCGGTAGTGCTTTGGTGAGAAAGTCGGCGAGTTGATCATTGGTTGGAACGTAACGGGTTTCAGCTGTTCCTTCACTGATGAATTCTCTGATCCAGTGGTACTTGATCGGAATATGCTTCGTGCGTTGTTGAAACATTGGATTGTTGGCGAGGGCGATGGCAGATTGGTTATCCACCATGAGAGTAAGTTTGCGTGATAACAAGATGCCGAGAGAGTCTATGAGAGTGATGAGCCATTTGGCCTCCTGAGCTGCTTCGAACAGCGAGATATATTCAGCCTCCGTAGTTGAAACCGCGACGACAGGCTGTTTACGTGAGCGCCAAGAGATGATTGAGTTGTTGAGCGTGGCGATATAACCCGAGTAAGAACGACAGTCCCCTTTGTCGTTTGCCCAGTCGGCATCCGAGAACACTTTCAAGTCAAAGGTGGGCGATCCACCGTCAAGGAGTATGCCGTGGTTGCGAGTACCAGAGAGATACCGCATGAGGTGAATAACAGCCCTCCAATGAGTGATGCCCGGCGATTCGAGGTGCTTGGACAGTTGAGACAGCGTGAAGGCGATGTCAGGACGGGTGCAGACCGCTAGGTACATGAGCATGCCAACAGATCGTCTGTAGTTTGCCCCAACTTGCTCGAATTGCTGTCGTTCGAAGGGGGTTGAGCGCGTGAGTTGAGTATTCGGCACCATTGGAACCGAAGTCGGACGAGCGTTAGATAGATTGTGATCGTCCAGGACTTTGGCTAGATATGCTTCCTGAGAGAGATATAGTTGCTTGTTGCCGATGCGAGCGACCTTCACCCCGAGTAGATGTTTGAGTTCACCGATGTCATCCATTTTGAATCTTGCCGAGATCAGGTCCTTGAACCTTTGAACGTCAGGACTGATGATCACCATATCGTCGACGTACACATGAACGAAGCATTCCCAGCCGCTTGTCTTGCTGATAAATAGACAGGGATCGGCCGGGGAAGGTGCAAAGTTGATCGACACGAAGAACCGGGATAAAGCTGCGTACCATACCCGAGGAGCCTGTCGAAGACCATAGATAGCTTTCTTGAGGCGAAGGCAATGACCTGGAGGGACCAACAAGCCAGCCGGAGCACGGAGATAGACCTCTTCTTCCAACTCCCCGTTGAGAAATGCATTTTTAGCATCCATCTGATGAATCGCGTGGCCTTTGGACAGACCTGCAACGATGGCTGTGCGGAGTGCAGCAAATCGACCAGTGGGAGCGTAGGTGTGAAGGATATCCTCAGCTGCCTGAAGCGATCCTTGCGCGCATAGACGAGCTTTGAATTTGGAGACTGCGCCGTCTTTGTCGAGCTTCTTCCTGAATACCCAGATAGTGCCAAGCAAGCGACGACCAATGGGGATTGGAACAATCTCCCAAACCTCAAGATCGATCATTGCTGATAGTTCGAGTTCAACGGCCGCTTTCCATTGCGCTGCTTCGCCAGACGCCATAGCTTGGTTGTATGTTTGAGGAACACCGACTGAAACAAACGCTGTTGGATGAAGTCCGAGATCGGGTAAGAGCTCGTCAAGCATTAGTCCATCGAAGTGATCTAGAATGGCCATGTTCGCTCGTCGTTTGTGAGTGATGATGTTAGAAGGATCGATCGCCGACGAGATGTCTTTAGGAGCCTTATCTGGTGCCAGGATTATATCCCAGCCCGGTTTAGGGCGGGCAGACAAAGATGGATCAGGGTTGGATTCGAGGGAGGGTTCGGGTTCGGGGTTTTGAGTAGATGTCTCCTCTTCCGACTCGGGTGGGACAATGGAGACGTCCGGGTCATGATAGACCGAGTCCTCATCAGACTGGTCATCTTCGGGCACGGATGAAGGAAGGACCGACGCCTCTAGTTCTTGGAACTCCGGCGGGTCTGGCAAGTCAGCACCATCATGGGTATCAACTGGGGAGAGAAGGGAGACTCCTGGGAACTCCGCCTCGTCAAATGTGACATCATGGCAGCGCTCAACCTTCCCTCCCGGAAGGAGAATGCGCCAGTTGTGCATCCCCAGTTGATACCCAACCATAAGCCCCACTTTGGCCGTGTCGCCAAATTTGCCATTCCGAAGCTTGTCCGGAATGTTCGGAAAGGCCTTGCATCCAAATGGACGAAGACGAGATGTGTCGAATTGAGCATCAAACCAGAGTTCATACGGGGTTTTCCATTTGAGTTTCCGAGTTGGAGTTATGTTTTCCAGAAAAACTGCCGTAGATACGGCTTCCCCCCAGTATTCGGCCGGCAGTTTTGCCTGTTTTAGAAGTGCTCGAGCCTTTTCACTGGTTGTGCGATTTCCCCGTTCAGCGACAGCGTTCTGTTGCGGAGTGTACGGGGCTGTTACATGAATTGTAACACCCTTAGATTTAAGAAATGAAGTGAATTCATTTGAGTTGAATTCTCCCCCGCCATCAAACACAACGGACTTGATTGGTCGATCATGTAGAGTTGTGACATTGTTGTAGTATTCCACAAACTTAGAGAAAGTTTGAGATTTAGATGACAAGATGAAGACATGACGGTATCGGGTGAACCAATCGGTGATTTTGAAATAATAGGATCCCCCACCACATGAGGTTGGAGTGATTTTCCCACTGAGGTCCATATGGACCAATTCAAGCGGATGAGAGGCCTCTGGTAGATGAGATGGAAAAACAAGGCGATGGGATTTTGACAGCGAACATGCGTCACATTTGACTTTAGGAGTTTTGATTCCAAACATCCTGCTTAATGCGTTGCTGTCGCAGTGACCGGCGCGTCTATGAAGCAATTGAACGTCAGTGATGGTCGAGAGCCGAGAGGTTGGTGTCGGAGACTGACCTTCATGAGTGGCGACAATGTGAACCATACACGTTCCGCCTACGATCGAAGCCTTGAAGACAACCTCCCCTTCTCTCACAAGAACAAACGAAGATTTTCCTGTTCTTTTGATTTCACATCCTCGTTCGTACAGTCTACCTAGACTGATCAAAGTTGCGCTGA